GGGATAACATGCAAGGGGGGAAATGCAAGGGGGAGGAAAGGGTTAGAAAAGGGAACATTTGCTTTCCCCGGCCCATCCCTTCACATACTGGTAGTGGTATGGAGCCCCCTTTTGTGCACCTTCCGTTCTCCCCCTCCAAGCCCGCTAGAACGGGTCCCCTCCCACCCCCCAAACCCCAACCCCCAACCCCACCCCAAACCCCCAACCCAATCCCCAACCCCTGGGCGATTCGTAACAACCCCCCTTTCCTTCTCCTTCCTGTCAGACGCACCTTCGTCGGCGGCATACGGCTCGTCCAGCTTCTGAAGACAGCTCATCTGTCGGGGGCCAGGGAGGGGGGGAGGGGGAGGGGGGGAGTGTCAGGTAGGTACCCCTGGCCCGGGTAACAGGTGGCCAATCGGATGCCGTATTCTAACTATGACACAACACACTCAACACACAATGCTCCCACCTATCCACCCCCACAGAAAACACTCCTTCCATTCGAACGCTCACTCCTATCTTCATTCCTCCATTTCCCCCCCACCACCCCACCCCACCCCACCCCACCCCACTCCCCCCCACCCCACCCCACTCCCCACCCCACTCCTACCTGTGCCTGGTACATGTCCCTGAGGTCCTGGGTGGACGCCGCTACGCACTGCAGCAGGGCGGAGGGGTAGGCGGTAGCGGCCGCGCGGGAGTCCGCCGTCAGGAGCACCGGGGGAAGGGCGGGGGGAGAGCCGCGGGAGGGGGGGGACGGGCCGCCACCGCCGCCACCCCCAACGCCGCCGCCACCAGTGGAACCCCCGGTAGTGTTGGCGTTCTTAGCAAGCTTTGTAGAAGACGATGCTGCTGTTGCCGCAGAGGCTGATGCAGCGGACTTGTTGGCGGCTGCTCGTTCCTTGGGGACCAGATGCTCCGAAACCACTTCCCCAAACATGTCCTGGAGGGAAGGAGGGAAGGAGGGAGGGAAGGCGGACCACGTGAACGAGTGAAGGTGATGCCAAGGAGGATATAGACTCTGATACGCCACTGAAGTATGTAAGGAGCAAGTAACCAGTCGCGACTTGTGAAGGAGGACTCTTCGGGGGGAGGGAGGGAAAGGGCGGGAAGGAAAGGGCGGGAGATGCACATGGGGATTTCCGAGGGTGGGTGGGGGCCCAGACGCGGTTACTGCGCCCTGAAAAGGTGAGAGACCGCAAGGAGGGAGGAGGCGGAGGAATGGCATTGGCAGGTGGGAACATACCACCCCCCCACCCACACACACACACTGGAGCGACACTGCTACGGGAAGTACCCCCCCACACATACCGACCACTGGCGGCCGTACTCCCACTTACCAGCACCGGGGCACACACACCCATCACACACCCATCACATGCACATGCACATGCACATGCACATGCACATGCACACACGGCCCACCTGCAGGCTCACGAGGACCTCCCGCAGCACATCCGCCTCCTGAAGCCGCATTTTGGTTTGTTGGCGGAGGGGCCCCGGAGTCCAGGGAGGGAGGGAGGGAGGGGGGGAGGGGAGGGGTCTGTACGTTTCAAGGAGCTCCCCACCCCACCACTGAGCCTCAACAAGGCCAATATACCGTGACACCCGGACCGGTCCGGGACCGCAAGCTGAGTCAGCCTCAGGACATGGACGAGCGTACGACAGCACGGCACTAACACATTTGCACACGCAGATCGTAAAAACCGTCGTGGCGGTGGCGGTGGTGGTGGCCCATCTCTTCCTTCTCTCCATATCTCCCTCCCGCGCTGGGACCTTCCGGGGGGGTTTCCACTCCTTGACAACCGTGCAGAACCATACGGTGCACTCACTTCGGAGCCCACAGTTTCCGGGACCCCCAACACACATACACACATGCGAGGTAGGATGGTGCTTATAGGCGATCTGACTCTCGTATTAGGGCGGTTTGCAGGTACGGGGAACGCACTCACGACCATGTAACACACACATACACACGTACATACACAACGTACGTACACGTACACGCACACACACACACACGTACACTCTCACCTCCTCCGTTATGGGTCGGAAGCCCCCCTGGTGTAACGCCAGCGCCCAAACACAACGAACCGCCGCCTCCCAGGCACTGTGAACCATAGCGCCCGCCACTGCCACCTGCCGTACACCGCCCGCAACATGAATCAGCTCGTCGTGCAGCGCAGACAGCAGCCCCTCCAGTGCCTGAAGGAAATACAGTGGTTGAGGAGGTGGTTGAGGCGGTTAAAATGGTGGTTGAGGGGGTTCAATGGGGATAGGAGGGATATACATTTCTGCATCCTGACAAACCACCCCTAGGGCCCCTCATGCAGCGCATTACGTCGCACTATCGCGGTGTGGATAGAGGCGAGGTGAGGTAGCGGCCGGGTCGGACAAACAATCCTATTAGGATTAGGGGGCCTGGATGTAACCCATCACTCGCGACTCGAACCCCTGTCATCCTCCTCATCCCTCCCAAAACCCCCTTCCCGCCTGCCTTCCCTTCACACATACATACATACATGTACACACATACACACAGACAGACAGATACATATAATAGACAGACAGACAGACAGACGCACCGTGCGCGAGGGTGGTCGGGTCCCCCCTGGATCCATCGCTGCAACGAGACCCCGCAACAACGAACTTCGTAACGCCAAATGGTACGACGTCAAACATTGCTCCGAAGCCAGACCCAGAGCGTGGCGCAACTCCGTGATGGCCCGAGTCAGGAAGTCGGGAGCCGCTGCCGCCGCCGCTGCCGTCGCCGCTGCCGTCGCCGCTGGCGGCGGCGCCGACGAGGTGATGCCTCTACGAGGGGCCATAAGAGGGGGGTGGGGGCCGCACCGCGGGCCCAGTGAGGGGGAGTCATGGGAGGGAGTGGGAAAGCTAAAAGCAGCGCTGCGGCCTTGTCAGTGTGGTACGGCGAGGTGAACCAGATGTCGCCTGGCGGTGGTGTGTGATGTGGCGTGTGGCCGCGTGAAGGGGTGTACAACAACACGATTCGAAACCGTACAACGTCACCGGGCCGTACGGCAGGCCAGGTATCACCGCCACCCACTTCTGAGGTGTGAACCGGTTGGCGGCGGATACCGCCGCCGCCGCCGTTGGTGCCGCGGGTGGCGGCGCCGTCTTGGGCGCCGCCAGCAGCCCCAGCGTTTCCTCAAGCGCCTCCGCCCCCTCCGCCACCGCAGCGACGGTGTTCCGCGTCAGGATCAGGAGACCGCACGCCAGTAGGCCAGGTTCGGAAGCTAGAGCCATGGCGGTGGCGGCGGGCAGCGCAGCGGCGGCGGCAGCGGCGGCCGTCGGCGTGCCGCCGGGAGTGGCCGTACCGGCGGCGGCGTTGGACGGCACTGCACGGCGGCGGCGGCGGCGGCAGCGATGGGATGAAGTGAACCAAAGCGGCGATTATGATCTGGTAGCAATGGCAGGACGAGTGGTGGCAGGGGGCGGAGGAAGGAGAATATTCCACAGGAGGCATTACTTTCCGTTTCGTTCTATCAGTACGACACATATTAAAATACAGATCAGGCTGTCGTACTTACGCCCGCTGTTCTTCACTGTCATCGTGTCGATGTCCGTCGCAGTGGCGGCCCGACGGTGTCCTTTTTTAGCCGGGGACACCAGCCCCGCTGCCGCCGCCGCCGCCGCCGCTGCTGCCGGCTGCTGCTGCTGCTGAGAGGCGCTACCAAACACGTACGACGCGCCGCCAGCACCAGCGGCCGCGGCCGCCGCCGCTACCGCCAGCGCTGCCGCACCCAATCCCGACGGCGGCGGCATCACGCCGTACTCAGGCATCACTGGCGCCGCGTGTGGCCGACCACCCGCCGCTGCCACCGCTGCCGCCAGACTTCTCTCCGTCGCCATCGCCGCTAGCCCACCGCTATTCGCCCCACCATGCGGCGGCGGGTTAACACCCGACCGCGGCTCCGGCCCCGTTGCGGCGTTCAGGGTGACGGCGAACGAGCCCAACAGGCCGCCGCTGCCGGCACCACCACCACCACCGGCGGCGGCGACGGCAACATGCGGCGGCAGCGGTGATGCCCCTGCCGCCGCGGTGGCGGCGGCTGCGGCACCGGTAACGCCGATAGCGTACAGGAAACGATCAGAGATTGTACGGCCGTGGCGGTTGCCGGCGGCGGCGGCGGCGGCACTCCCGGGCCCATCCGCGGGTAGCGCCCGGAGAAGGATGATCTGCGAGGTGCACATGTGTTGTGTCGTACAGTCGTACTTTTGCGGTTGGGATGTGTTTTGCTGGTGTACCCCCCCTTCCTTGCGTGTGTGTGTGTGTGTGTGTCGTCCCCGGCGCCCACTGCCCCTCCAGGTCCCGCTCACCTCCTCCCACGCCCGCATGCAGTGGTACAAATAGATCCGTACACACGACACCACGGAGCGGCAGATGGCGGGACCCATCATCCGGGGCCGGTCATCGCCGCCGCCCAGGGCCCTCTCCACACTCACATCCAAATACACCTGGGGGAGGGGCGGGCGGGGGGAAAGGGGGAAGGGAAGGGGGGGAGGGGGGAAAGGGGGGGAAGACACACCACGAGCGAGTTAAGCTGATGCCACGGAAAGACTGGTGCGCCAGAAATAAATAATAAAGAGAAGTAAGCTGAAGGGGGGCCGGGGCGAGGGGAGAGGGGGTGATATGCAAGGAGAGAAAGTGGGGTTCGGGCTTTCAGGGGTACATGCACCCTGTAAGGCCCTTTTGCAGCATCATTCGGGTGGGTGGGAAGTGGGTAGGAAGTGGGTGGAAAGTGGGTGGGAAGTGGAGCTTTAGACACACACACACACGGATTCGGAGGCGGACGCGGCAGTAGCATGGTAACACTATCCGCCCGACCGCCACCACCACCACCGCCATCACCGCCAGGACAGAGGGGACGATGGTTCCGTCTTGGCGTCATGACAACCACCAGATTGCCAAACACTGGTAGGACAACAGAAAGGAAAAGAAAGAAGGAGGAGGAGGAGGAGGAGGAGGAAATTCTATGTGCATGAAGGAAAGGTTCAGTTGCGAGGAATATAAATAGGATAAGGGAGAGGAGGAAGTGGGGGAGCAAGGGGGATGACGCCAGCAGGAGGTGTGTGGGCGCATCCCAAGGACACGGGCCCAACCAACCTCTCCCCAACCGACAACGGTATCTCTAACCCGCAATTGCTCTCTCCCCCCCACCTGCAGCATCCTAAACAGCTCCACAGCGCTCTCTACGGCACCGCTGCCCAAAAGAGCCTTACAAACCAAACCTCGACCCGTACGACTACCGGCGCTGCCTCCGCCACCAGCGGCAGCGGCGGCGGCAGGGCCCGACGGCGAGGTGACGCCGCCGCCACCTGTACGAGGTTCCTGATTGCGGGGCCCATAAGCGGCGGCGGCGCCGTTGGGTTGGGGGCCTTTCGTCGGAGCATGTGCTGGCGGCGGCGGCGGCGGTGGTGGCCAGAGGGGGTCCCTTTCCAGGAGGCGTATGAGCTGGCGCTTTAGGTCCTCGCCTGGAGGGGGCCGGATTCGGTTATGGCGGTTATGGTGGTAGTTGCAATGGTGGTGGTGGTGGTAGTTCTTGTAAAAGAAAGAATGGAAAAGCGGTCTTGGGAAGAAGCGGGTCGGCCTCTAAACATCGGTGCAGACGTACGCAAACGTAAAACGTACGCAGACACACACACACGCATGTGCGTCGTCCGTACCTCCCAGCTCCGCCCACTCCGCCATGGCCTCCGCCATGGCCGCCTCAAAATCAAACAACACCGGCCCGCCGCCGCTGCCGCCGGCATCGCTGCCTTCCTCCTCATCGCCGTCAGGCCGCCCGTGCCGTCCACCGCCACCGCTGGCGCCGGCGCTGCCAGCCCCAACGACCCGCGGGTCGCTCCCACCCTCGCCCCCAGAAGTACAACAACGGCGCCGCAGATTCGCCTGCCTCCCGCCGCTGCTGTTGGCAGAGACCGGCGACACGTCCGAATCGTCGCTGCACGCGGGATGTTGGCCGCTTGCGCCGCCGCCGTCACCACCAGCGGCGGCGGCGGTGGCGGCACGGAAGCGAGGTGAGGATGATCTTGCCGAGGATGCCGGGGAGTGGGACGACGAAGTGCTGGAGTCATCTCCGCTGTGTCGCCGCGTCCTTGATGCTGGTGTGTGTGTGTGTGGCTGCCTAGCTAGGTGATGCCTACATTCGGACCAATCGCGGATAGGGGAAGGCGCAGGAGAGAAGATCCGAATGAGGCGGTGCCGAATGAGTGGCCACCACTATGAAGCTTGCATGCGGGTGTGCGGATGTGCGGACAGGGAGAGGAAGTTGGTGGAGCCGTGGGTAACCAGAAACTGAGCCGGCAAAAAAGGTGAAAGGGTCGACGACAGCGAGGGCAGGGAAATGGCGCTGGGGTTTGCAATGGGGGCGGATGGGAAGAGGAGGGGCTTCAGGAAGAGCACCACCATTATCCCCCCACCCGCCCGGCCCCCTTTCTCCATACACACACACATACCCGCCCCCCTCACCCACCTGACCATGGTCGTGTGGAGTCTGTTCACGGCACCTTCCAACCCCCACAGTGCCGTAGAAGCCGCCTTGTCACTCCCAGGTCGGTACATGAACAACGTCTCCAGAGCGTCACTCAGAGCGTCGTACCGAATACGGCAGTTCGTACGGGTAAGGGAACGAAGTCCAGGGATGGCCGCCTGGGGAAGCCCCCGGCGTACGACGCCAGGGGACGTGTGTACGACACATCATGGGGTGGGAGAAAGAACACTGTCGACCCGAGCTGTATTTTGAGCCTCCTAAACACACAACGGAGAGTGAGCCGGCTGCCATCATGTCCCCCCCCGATGGCCACGTCACGTGCTCGTCCAAGGATTCATGGTTTGTGTTTGTCTATCTGTCTGTCTATATGTATGTATGCGTGTCAAGTTAAAAAGATGACGTCACCATTACCTCTCAAAAAGTCCCCCCAAACCTAAACCCCTTTCCCACTTCCACCTGCCCTCCAACCCCCTCCAACCCCGCCCCACCCCGCAAATTGCGTCCGCCAGTTGAACTCCTTTCGCATCCTTGCGCACGTGGAAATTACCGCAACCCCTACCCTCTCTTCAACACGCCGGGACAATCTTACGAGACCAGAGGTCGCCTACTATAAAACAATGCCGGTAACGTAATGGGCTTTACTTCTGGAACCATGGGTCGATGACTTCATCGCGCTGAACTCCTTTGGAGTTTCGGATCAGGGGCACCGGCAGCAGTTCTCATTTCCCACTTTCTCACATATGATTTCCCCTCCCCGGCCCCCCCCCCCCCCCACACGCACACACCTGCAGCCTGAGGTCCTGCTCCAGCTGCTCCGCCGCTCTCTCCGCTGCAGTCCTCAGCGCCTCCACATGCACCGGTAGCGAGTCATGGGTGGGGCGGAAGGCGGCGGTGGAGGCGGCGGCGGAAAAGGCGCCCTGCTGCATGTGGTCCAG